GCCGTCTTCACAGTAACTCGCAGAGACGGCATTTAACCCTTCACATTCCAACAGAAACTGAACAGGCAGATTCGAAGGATTTATTTCTTTGGAAATGTTATTTTAAATACAATTAAATCAAGTTATTTTGGTAAAACTAATGAAAACTGTAACAACAAAAAATATAAAAAATAATATTTAAAAAAAAAGTTTTTTTTTTTAATGTTTTCAAATATTATTTTTTAGAATATCTTAGGCCCTCACAGATGGCCTAGAGGGCCCTGACGGCTCGCTACTGTTCTATAGTAAAATTACTTTTTATTTGTTTTCCTACATTACAGTTGTACATCTAAATATACAGTAAAATACTTATTCTAAATCTTGTAGAGCGAATAGAAACATCAGTATGCAGTATAAAGAAAATGCTGATTATACAATGTACATTCTGTCAGTGCCATGTGGTCAAATGTAAGAACAGTAGGTTGACTGTAAGATGATCTAAACCTCTACCTGAAAAACCATAGACACTCTGGAAGCGCCGCATTTTTGTTCTTTAACTGCAACTTAATTGAACAGATTGTTTGTGTTGCAGGAGGTATACTCAGGCTGTTGATATACTGAGACAGAATGAGCTGGTCCAGGATCAGTATGTGGTAGTTGATGTTTGACTCACTGAACTGTGCGGTGACCTGTTTCTGGGAGAACAGGCTCTCAGGGTTCACCGTCCTCTTGAAGTGCTTCTGCAGGGTGGACAGGATGATGGCCTCCTCCTCCGGCTTCCTCACCCGCCCTGCCAGCAGCATGAACCCTGAGGAGGAGCACAGCAACTACACTGAGGACGTTATGTCACATGCGCAGCAGCTACATTGAAGGTATGGCAATGATTATCTTAGCTTCCAGGGCCCTCCAACAATGATACATGACATATATAAGACATAAATCATTAACACTTATTTAAACTATAGAATAGTGCAAGAAGAAACAGATTAGAATAGAGTAAAATAACATGTGTGAATTATTTGTGAATTATATATTTTCTACAGTAGATATGTTTATATTTGCGGTTTATTGTTTTTATTTCATTATGTTTATACTTTATTCCACCTTTTAAATATGGTAATGCCTTAACACACCACTGCTGTAACATCTATCTATCCATCCATCCATCCATCTATCTAACTATCCATCTATCTAACTATCTATCTATCTATCCATCCATCTAACTATATATCTATCCATCTAACTATCCATCTATCTATCTATCCATCCAACTATCTATCTATCCATCTATCCATCTAACTATCCATCTATCCATCCATCCAACTATCTATCTATCTATCCATCTATCCATCCATCTATCTATATATTTATCTATCTATCTAACTATCCATCTATCTATCTATCCATCTATCCATATATCCATCTAACTATCTATCTAACTATCCATCCATCTAACTAACTATCTATCTATCTATCCAACAGATCATCCTCCAGGCCTCACCATCGTTGGCCAGGTACTGCAGCCAGTCCTGCGAGGCGTCGGTCTGCTCCTGCAGCCGGTACCGGTCGGCCCAGCGGAACAGGTCTCTGAGTGTGATGAAGCCGTGTTTCCCCGCAAACACTGTAGAGCCCCTGCGTAAGGACTGGGGAGGGGAACACATTACACACAGGTCAGAACACCCAACACAGGCAGGCAATACAAAGAGGCACAGGCCTAGGAAAACAAAGTGCTGTCATCTTTGTCATCACATTTAGCTGAAACTTTCATCCAGAGAAACGTACATTAAGTGCAATGAGCCATGAAGATAGAAACTCAGAACAGCAAGTACGTTCTCCTCAATAAACCATAACATTGGTGCATTACTACAAAATAGAGCTGCATGATTGTGAACAAATTACGTATTGTGATTATTTTGACTGATATGGCAATTGTGATATGGTTCACCATATTAGTGGAACTGATCCTTTTGAAAGCTAGTTCTCATTATCATGAACATTTTTATTTAAATTATTTGATGTCGGGTTTTTTTTGAGGATCGATACCAAAAATGTGTTGGATTATGATTTATAGACTGGGATATCTCTGCAGTTCCACAATACTTCATTCAAAACCATATTTTAACTCATATTTAGCCTTTAACAAATATTTTGATTCTCCATAATCATATAGGGTCCATATTGCTATTTTTGATTAATTAATTAATTAATTAATTAAGCAGTACTAGAACCAAATATTTACAGAAAATGAAATGTTCTCAGCTTATCCTTTGAGTTTAAGAAGTGAGTTATCTCCAGAATTTAAGAGCAAGTACAAAATGTAAGTCAGAAATAGATGTGTGAGACCGAAAAAAAACACAAAAATACCGCAATAACTCAATAGCTTTAAGCCTGTTTCTGGCTCCTCTGCAGGAGGTACGGCCTTCAGCAGGTCTGTGCCCAGGGATCCGTCATCCCATAATCTGCCCCTGGGTGCGCAGTAGTGCAACATGAGAGTGTCAGTTACCTGCAGGTCCTGCATGACCTTCACCAGCTTGCTACAGTAGGACGGAGGCAGGCTGCACCTCTGGTGGAGGATGGTCTCCAGCTCTGCACTGGGCAGCTCGTCGAAGTGCAGCTCCACGAAGCGGTTCCTGAAGGCCCTGGAGAGCACCTGGAGGGCAGGCAGACAACCTTACTCACCGTTTTGTTTCTTAACAATATTTTTATTGATTATTCTTAATTTTTTAAAACTCACTTATGACATAGCACAGAGGTTCCCTACCATGTATGTCTTGTGTCCCCCTCGAGCTGGTCGCCATTCTATAATATTAGTATATTCTATATAAGAACCCCTTCACTCATCTGTGAAGATTTGCCTGCACTTCTTCTTGTATTAAACCCTAAACTGCTCCATAGATGAAAATCACGTGTATAACTAGCCCTTAACATAAATGTTTTTAAACTTGATATTTACACTTAGTCAGTGAAAAATAATAATACTAAAAATCACTTCTAACAGTTTCAGCATCTTTTATTAAGTCACTAGAGCTGTTAATGAGACCCTTTCAAAAGCTTTGATAGTTCTGGGGGCGAAATATATAGCAATCCCTAATCTTTCTCTGTACCCGCTGCAATCCCCTCAAGTGCCCCTAGGGTTCCCCGAACCCCCAGTTGGGAACCACTGACATAGCAAACACATTGAAACTGAAAATAAGAGTTTCCAGACATACATTGGAGTTTACAGGAGAATCACTTTTATAAATCGGGAGGTTCCTTTAACAATAATAGCCGATAAATCAGGCCCAAGGAAACGTATTTGATAGAACTGGTCAGATATGGCGTGTAGAACACTTCCAGGGGAACCAACTCAAATATCATTGTTGCCAGCCTTTGGGAGATGGGACCTCATCTTTAGTCCATTGTAGTGATATACACTAAACAAAAATATAAACGCAACACTTTTGTTTTTGCTCCCATTTTTCATGAGATGAACTCAAAGATCTAAAACATTTTCTACATACACAAAATAACCATTTCTCTCAAATATTGTTCACAAATCTGAAAAAATCTGTGACAGTGAGCACTTCTCCTTTGCCGAGATAATCCATCCCACCTCACAGGTGTGGCATATCAAGATGCTGATTAGACAGCATGATTATTGCACAGGTGTATAATATACAATAAAAGGCCACTCTGAAACATGCATTTTTGCTTTATTGGGGGGGTCTGGGGGGGTCCAAAAACCAGTCAGTATCTGGTGTGAGGGTTAGGGTTAGGGTAAAGTTGTGAATCGAGTGGCCTGTGTTCGTCGTTCATAACATACGCCTGCCCATACCATAACCCCACCACCACCATGGGCCACTCGATTCACAACATTACCCTAACCCTATTAGGGTTAGGGTTAGGCTCAAGATACTGACTGGTTTTCGGAACCCCCCAGACCCCCCCAATAAAGCAAAAATGCACGTTTCAGAGTGGCCTTTTATTGTGGCCAGCCTAAGGTACACCTGTGCAATAATCATGCTGTCTAATCAGCATCTTGATATGCCACACCTGTGAGGTGGGATGGATTATCTCGGCAAAGGAGAAGTGCTCACTGTCACAGATTTTTTCAGATTTGTGAACAATATGAGAGAAATGGTTATTTTGTGTATGTAGAAAATGTTTTAGATCTTTGAGTTCATCTCATGAAAAATGGGAGCAAAAAGAAAAGTGTTGCGTTTATATTTTTGTTCAGTGTATCTTTTCTAGCAGCGAAGGTGAGGACAATATAAAACATTTCACTAGTAGCAGTAGTTAGTGTTTTGATTGCTCAAATCAAACTAGTAGATCAATGTATATAATGTTTATAAAGTTTATCATGATCGTTATGTTTTCTTGTTCTTCAGCTCAGTATGGTTTCTGCCTGGTGATGTTGAAATGTATTGTTAAGCTTTATTAGAACAACATGGGCATAGTTGACTCCCTCAAATCTATTCATATAAATGGATTTTGCTCTGAAATGTCAACATTTTAAATACTAAGTAAATCTGAAGGCCACAGTTACAATGACACCTATAGATATCAGGATAAAATAGAGGCATAGTTACCTTCCTACCGCCGTAGAGTCCAGGGGGATTCTGGGTAGCGAACAGCAGGAACCTGGGGTGAGCCTTGATGACTTCCTGTGTCTCGGCCACAAACAGCTCCCTGTTGTCGTCCAGCAGCCTGTTGAGGGCCTCCAGCACGTCCGTGGGGGCCAGGTTCAGCTCATCCAGGATGATCCAGTAGCCTTTCCTCATGGCGTCTATGAGAACGCCTGGAGGGGAGGGGGAACAGGAACATCAGACTGGAGGAGGCCAGGGGGGGCCACTGGGAGACAGTTCCTCTACATAACAGGGTCTTTGCAGCTCGCACTAAAGAATCTATCAGACAGCTAGAGCTGATTCTGAACGCTGGCTTCCTGTCTTTCAGAGAATTGACATTAAAATACTACTTCTGCTTTATTAAGCACCAAATGGGCTATACATCTCCCGCTACATCATGAACCATCCAGGTCTCCTTTCTGTCCCCAGAGTCAAACTGAAGCAGCTTTCACTTATTATGCTCCATATATCTGGAACAAACACAGGAGAAAACTGCAGGTCCCAAACAACCTGTACCTTTTTTTTTTTATCCTGACTGAAGAACTCTTTTTGTCGCTGCCTTTTATTAAATCAAATAAATATGATTTTTGTAAACTACACTGCAACTTTAATTCTTGTGATTTATTCCTGTCAAATTCTACTATTTTTCCTAATTTCATTCTAATTTCTAGTATTTAAACATGTTATGATGCGTTTCTTCTACACTATGTCTTAGGGATGTAACGATAACAAAGACTCACGGTATGATAATATCGCGATAAAAAGTCCACGGTACGATATTTATCGCGATTTCCAATTTTTATTTTTTTTTACTTGAATTTTTTTTCCTTTATTTATCTTTACAGCACTTTAGTAGGATAGTTTTAAAGTGTCAACAATATAATAATCAGACCCTGCAATAGAATAAATCAAGTTTCACTTTAGTTTTTCAAGTAACTCAACTCTAACTTACTCACTCAGCATCATCAAGGTTATCTTTTAGGAATATGAGCATGTCCACATTTCCAGGTAGAAGCTGGGATGTTTGGGTGTTTACAATATCCCCTGCTGTGTAAAACACTCTCTCGCTTGGTACTGATGTTGCTGGGACAGAGAGATATGCTTTGGCCATGGGTGACAGCAGTGGGTAAAACTGTGCATTGTCTCTCCACCATCAGGAGAGCTGGATCTAATCGATACGGACAAAAACGCGAGTGAAGTGTAACCGGACGCGAGAGAGAGATCAGATCAGATCAGCTGCTGGGTCTGACTGAGACATGCAGCTCTGCATGATCACCTGAAGCTCCGCCCTCTGTTTAGCGAGCTGACCGGACTGCGCAAAATGCGTATATGAAGTGTCATGAACGCAAGAAATCATACCCTCGTGGGGGCGCGCTCATGTGATTGGCTTAGACTGGAGGAGACATCTGATTGGCTATAGATGAGAGAAATTACAAGTACGAATCGGGTGAGCGTCAGGGGAGTCTCAAAAAACCCACACACGAATGCACAGCGATCCGTGCACAGAAAGCGGTTTCTGTTTGTAGGTGCAGGGGATTTAAACGGAAAACAAATATGTGTGGATCAAAAATACATATGTTTGGATTTTATTTGCATGTATATGAAACGGAACACATTTGTGTGTGCATTGAAAAACACAATTGTGGATGCGGAAATACAAGTGTGAATCCTTTTACGAATCATGAAATACAAGTGTGAATCCTTCTGTGTGCATGTGTGTATTATGAGACTGTTCTGAGCCCATACTTTTGTGTTATCTGTTGTTTTATGTTCATGTTGTAACCTACTTTGTACATGGTACATTTATTTACCGCGATATTCGATATATCGTTACATCCCGACTATGTCTTAATGGTTTAATGTTTTATGAACAGAATTTGAATTGCCTTGTGATTGTAATGCTTTCTTTTATCAGTTATATATATCTTTTTTAGTTTTGGCTTTTTGCCTTTAACCCTCTGAACAGAGAGGGGAAAGAGAGGGAGTGACATGCAGCAAAATATTTGAAATGGATGCATCAGCTACTGTGGTGCCCGCTGGCTGATGAGTGTTTGTACCCTCTTTGAACACCAGCTTGCCCCTGCTGTCGGAGGAGTAGCAGCCGATGTACTCCTGGATGTCGGTGTGCTCGTGGTTGTTGATCCTCACACACTGGTTCCCCGTGGCTGCAGCCAGCCAGTGTATCAGGCTGGTCTTCCCCACAGACGTCTCCCCCTGGATCAGCACTGGGTGAGTGCTGTGAGGGGGACAGTTAGAGGGAGGGTTTGAGGACACACTCTTCAAATCAGTGTACTCAATACATCTAAAGAGCCATAGAGCACTGAGGAGCAGTGTTGCAAAGTAACTAAGTAGATTTACTTTACTTAAGTACAATTTTGAGGTTGTACTTTACTTGAGTATTTCAATTTTGTATTACTATGTAGTCCACTACAATTCAGAGGTAAATCGTGTCCTTATACTCCACTACAATTCAGAAGTAAATGGTGTACTTTTACTCCACTACATGTATTTAATACCTTTAGTTACTTCACAGATGTGGATGAATGATGTGAAATATAATCAAGTGCTAAATCAGACTTTAGTTCCACCTGGAGTAAATTCACAAGCTACCCTGCAGTATACAAAGTCATTCAAACTAGCTGCACCTTTACCAGCTTTGAGAACACTTTCATGATCAATCATTATAAAACATATCATATATATTATTCTGAAATGGACCAATCTGGTACTTTAACTATATTCTGATGCTAATACTTTTCTACTTTTACTTGAGTAACATTTTGAATGCAGGACTTTTACAACACAATAAAACATTGCAGCTTTAACTGAGGAGAATATGACTTTATGAATTTATTCAGGTCATTCATGCCCCATTTTAAATACAAAATGTTGGCCAAAAAACTATGTCCCATTAATGCAACAAAAACAAACATTACTAGTTATTATCCCATGTACTATATTAAGAACTTGACAGGGCTGCAACAACTGTACTGCATTTGGGATGAACAGGAACACTGACAGAGATCCAGACCTGATCTCCAAACATTAGCGTGGGACTTCAGTTATACCTAATATTAAAACGGAATTAAGTGAGGTCAGGAGGTCAGCTGTCCTTAAAATACACAGAGATATAAAAAGCTCATGGCTTCCTGCCAGGCAGATCAAGGACAGCGGGGAATCCAGAACAGCCACATTTCTGTCCTGGTGTTTCTATCCTAAAGGGCCAGAATTAGCTCTGACAAAATGAGGAACACATTGATTTGGGGGAAATCATTTTCCTACCCTGCAGACACCACTCTGGAGAGGTCGCGGAGGTTCAGCTTGACTGATGCGGTCAGGATGTAGCTTGGGTCCAGAGCCGGCTCCATCTCCCCCTGAGACACCCAGTACCCCTCCACATCCACGCAGGGCCGGTCTGAGGGCGACGGGATGGACTGCAGGAAACGGGACAAATTGCTTTTTTCAAAAGTATCCTCTTGTGTAGGTGAATTGATACATCTAAAACGTATATTATCGAAAGGTTTCTGCAGCTGCTGGGGACTTTAAAAACCCTCAGCACACTCTATTAACCTCCTGTGTCAGTTATTATAAGAATATACTTTTAAAGCTCAAATATTAAAATCCACATTTCAATGATGTATCCATTCATACCAAATGAACATTAAAACATGTCAAAAGGAAATAGCTCTTACTTGTTTGAGACACTTGGTGTTCTCCATCAGGATGTGTTGACACACCAGTTTCTGGACCACAGGGTGGGAGCTTCTGTCCAGCTGCGTCAGGAAGCTCAGGCAGAAACCCTGCAGAGAATCAGACTGTCAGCGGGGAATACATGCAGCTGATGGAGGCTCCAACACACTGAAATGATCTTTTTATAATAAATGGCGCGCTTCTACAGACAAAAGACAACATAATTAATACATTTAAACAAACTACAAATAGTAGATTTTTGATTTACTAATAGTAGATTAACAACATTATTCAAAAGTTTAAATTAATTTGGAAAATAATATGGGAGTAATAAACAAAGCGCTCTCTGTCTCTCCCTCTCATGACAGCCCATCATTTACACATTCTAGGAAAAGCCATGCAGTGAGAGATGTGTGGGTTTCATTACAACAGAATGACACGTGTTTTAAAAAATGCAGGGGGGTCAACGGTTGTAGTGTTAAAGGAGATTGTGTGTGTACCTCGTAGAGTGAGCGCTGCACGCTGCAGCAGGGGTTTGCTGCCACATACTTCAGTGCCCTGCACAGGGTCCGCAGGCTGTAGTGAGGTCTGTGGCCCGTCCCATCCACCAGGTGGGAGTGGGCCTCCTTTCGCACTGCCAGGTAAAAACTGCACACAAACACAATCAAGGAGGGAATCAGCTTGAGACGACAGCAGGGTTCTAAAAAGTGAGCATAAAGAGTGAGGAAGGAGAGGGGTCTGAGCAGAAGAAGCCTTTTCAGCGGTTTCCCCAATGGACTGTCACAGTGAGTAAAGGCTGACCTTATGATACCGCTGATGATGTTCCGGTGTGGATTCAAGCCCTTCAGGTAGTCTGAAACCAGAATCCGCAGGTCGCCCTCATTCTCCAGCTCCTCCACATACAGCTCAGTGAACCTGACACACACACACACACACACACACACACACACACACACACACACACACACACACACACACACACACACACACACACACACACACACACACACACACACACACCATGTTTAGGTGTTTCTTTTCTTCCACATCTTAAAATGGATCTCCCACATCAAATCAGAGACTGCACTGATCTCCCAACCCTCAAAACACTGACCCAAACTCACCTTTTCAGACGGGCTTTTAATGTGTGATTGATTCTGTGTCCATGTGATAGATGTTGTTCCATTGCTGGATTTTAAAGTTGACTTTGTACCTCTGTAAAGCATCTATGAGCAATTGATAAAGCGCATGATAAATTCAATTTATTATTATTATTTAATTGTTATTATGGCCTGTACATCTTTTATATTTTCTAAATAATTATACAAAAATAATATCTCAGTTTAACATGATGCTATTATCATATATACAGCATATATATGATGTCCTATACCAGGCATGGCCAAACTCAGGCCCGCGGGCCATATACGGCCCGTTGGTCTTTTGAATCCGGCCCGCCGAATATTGGTACAAAATTGTCCAAATTAGAGTAAAGACCGCATTCATTTTGCCTTTTTCCTGCAACACCCGGCATTTCAGTTGATCCCACTAGATGGCGCACTCTAGACACAATTGACCTTTGCTGGAGTCTGGTCTGGCAACCCGGCAAGATCTAAGAACCAAATACGTCACGCTTACATTGGAGGGAGTCGAGATTAACGTGAGCAATAACAGTTCATGGAGAGTACGGCGAATATGAGTTGTAACAAGCAGTAGCACTGAGCAAAGTGACTAGAACGCGACCACACACTTATAAAAAAACACTTATATAAAGTCAGGCAACACTAACCAGGCTTAGTGTGATTCTGTTTATTTTACCTTACTTTAATAACCATCCGTTCACTGTTATTGACTATTGTGAAGAGGCGGATGTTTTCCTTGTTGTTTTGTGTTATTGCAACTATCGGATGGAATCAATACATGGGCTACATGTGGCCATCACAAGTAAAATCATAACGAAAACTGCGCCGGTAAAATATGTGTGAAAACGGCTTATTCCACAATATGATAGCAACAAGTAGTCAAGATAGTCTGATTAGCTTCGGTTGCTATGCTAACATCACCTGTAGAATGGCAGAGAAACATTCATAACAGCGTTGTGAGGCCAAACAGCTTTCAGACTAAAACACATTCACTGATGGGGATGGGGGATATTTATCAGCTGCTTGTGTGACAGTCAGACAATGAAAACTTTAC